AGGGCTGCGACTGCAACGCACATTCCCGTCACACTCCACGACGAGACAAGTATGTTGCCTGCGACGGAATCACGAGCGAGATCTAACTGTACCTTGCAATCGTCGATATCAATTTCACAATTGGGTCCCGTGAGGCCATCTTGACACACGCACGAGTAGCTGGCCACACCATCCACGCAGGTGGACCCCGCGGCGCAAGGATTATTTTCACATTCGTTTATATTTATTGAACAATCTTTGCCTGAAATAAAACATCAATTTTGTATATTTGTTATGCTACATGGTTTTCTACAATTATTTACAACTTTTATGATCTTGCTTACCATCAAAGCCGTCCATGCAGGTACATTCGTAATTATTTTCTAAGTTCTGGCAAGTGCCGCCGTTCTTACAGGGTGACGAAAGACATTCGTCAATATCTTGTTCGCAACTATCACCAGTATACCCTTCAAATCACAACAATAATTAATATAACTTTTTAATTGGAGGCTAAAAAATGAGATTTACGTGAGTGCATATTAGTGTGCTATATTACAAGATGTATTACCTGGCTTGCAATAACACTGATACGACCCCGGGACATTTACACAAACGCCGTTGTTACATATCTTAGGCATCAATAAACATTCGTCCTTATCCGATTCACAGAACCTTCCTAAAAAAAAACGAAATTTATTTATATGATAATCCACTTAATGAAACAAAAATTAAAACCATTAACAAAACAAACCGTTGATTAAACAAACAAATACAAATACATTTAGTAAATAATACATTGGTCTCATTTTATCACTACTGAAAAAACGTGAGAGGCCTAATTAAAAAAAAAACATTGAAGTCAATATTAGTCACACCGCGTAACACATCGTTTGCACAAGTGATTTAAATCCGCTAGCATACTTGTGTTCTTCACTAATCATAATATTTTACCGCTGTGGAGCGAAACGTGAGTAAAGTAACTGAATTTATGAATAATATGCCACCTAATTATCGTTATTTGTTGAAAAATATGCGAATAGATAAATTAAATGTAACGGCACTACATTTGCATTCCGCGAATTTGTAACAGGAAAAACCGGCAATACGGTCACGTTACACAATGACACGGACATCACTATAAGCGTCACGCCAACAGCAAACTAAACGTCAAAGTCAAAACGAATTTGTATCATAACAAAAAGTAATAATGAAATGTTTATCAATTATTTGCTCTAATTATAAATGTAAATGAAAGCAAATAAAGTGAATTAACATAACGTCTAAGTTTTAAGGTTATTTAAACAATGTATATGTCGATGCGGACATTTTTTAGGTTATACCAAAATCAAAGTGTAATTAGAATCCGTGTAAGCCAGTTTGTGAGAAAAAAAAGTGCGAAAGTTACCGAACAAATTGAAAAAACAGTTTCATGTTCAAGTTTAAGTACTCTCATTGTTGAGTTACGCGATAAAATAAAATTCAATTCTTATCTAGAAAGGGAGAAATTAGATTTAGGTTATTACAAATTTTACGTGAAATCTTTGCGAAAAGCAGAGCAAATTTCAGCTAAAAACTTTAAAGAGAAGTCATTGCCGCCCCTACCTGTGGCATTAAAGTATATAAATAATAATAATTTATTGTTGGATAATAATGAAGTGGATGTTTCTCTACAAGAAAACACATTTCAACTCCCTTTCTCAAATCCTACTAATATAAATATTTCACCTGCTAATAAAGGAGCGAGAGAATTTAATTGTTCAAATTTAAATAGATGGATGACTAGTTATGAACATTTTGATGATAGTAAACTAAGTGCACTTCAAGGATCAGAGGATGACGACATAGATGGATTAGAGTGGTGTAAGAACTACGGAACTCCCGACCCAAAGGTGGGCATTAGCCGAGTGCCATGTGGCGGCTGTGGTGCTCTGCTGCACTGCAGCGACCCTGCCATACCTGGATATTTGCCCAGTGAGATCATTAAAGGTCGTACAGATGAGGATTTAAAAATTATAGAATGTCAACGATGTCACTTTCTAAAAGAGTACAATATAGCTTTAGATGTGACTGTACAGCCTGAGGAATATGAAAAACTTCTACAAAATATAAGGTATGGTGCTAAATAAATTAATGATTATTTGATTGTAGAGCATGTCAACATTTAGACTTCTACTAAAGACACATGTACTGTTGCTAGATTAGTAAGAAATTTTATGAAATATTTAATAATATGTTGTGTGCAGACAGGTCAAGTCCCTAGTCCTGCTGATGGTGGACCTGCTGGACTTTCCGTGCTCCATTTGGCCGGGCATTGTTGACATCATTGGCACTCAGAGACCTCTCATTGTTGTAGCTAATAAGGTAAACTATATTTTTTTATACTAATATTAATGTTTAAACAATTTTTTTCACATTAATATAGTTTTACAATATGTATAAAACCTGTTATAGGTTGATCTGCTACCCGGTGACAGTGTGGGCTATCTCAAGCGGGTCAAAGAATGCCTCATGAGGGAACTCAACAAAACAATGTTGAACAATGCCAACATCAAACATGTCAGTCTTATTTCTGCAAAAACAGGCTATGGAGTTGAGGAGTTGATATCGGCCATGTTCAAGTTATGGATGTACAAGGGCGACGTATTCCTCGTGGGCTGCACCAACGTAGGCAAAAGCTCGCTGTTTAATGCCCTCCTGCAGTCAGATTACTGCAAAGTTCACGCTGTCGATATTGTAAAGAGAGCTACTGTCAGCAGGTGGCCGGGGACAACATTGAATTTGTTGAAATTTCCTATAAATAGACCCTCTGGATGGAAAATACAACAAAGATATCAGAGGTTAAAAGTCGAAGCTAAAGCTCTTAAACTTGAAAATGAAATAAGGAAGGGCCAAGTGAAAGGTAAAACATTTAGTGATGCACCATCATTGATTGGGCACATCGGGAGAACCTTTGCTATGCCATTAACAGATGACAGTATTGACCAAAAAAATCCCATTGACATTCTGGATGAAAAGCATGAGCTATTTGTTAACAGCAAATGGTTCTATGACACACCTGGCGTGATACATCCGGATCAGGTGTTACCTCTGCTGAGCACTGAGGAATTATTGATGACCATACCAAAGAATATAGTGAAGCCGCAAACTTACTACCTGACCCCGGGCTCTACTTTGTTCATAGGGGGCCTGGCGCGAATGGACTTCATGGAATGCTCCGAGCCCTGTAGATTCACAGTATTCTGTTCGGAGCACCTGCCAATAACAATTGTGAAGACTGAGGATGCAGATGAAGTGTACCAGAAATTGTTAGGTACAGAGTTATTTGCAGTACCAACAGGTGGAGCGGAGAGAGTCAAAAATTGGCCCGGTTTGAAAATGAGCAATGATATCCTGGAATTTTCTGGACAAGGACCGAAACTTTGTTGTGGAGACGTGGTTTTGTCGTCAATCGGTTGGATTTCAGTGACCGCCAAGTACAAATCAGTGTGTAAAGTAGCAGGCTGGACTCCCGGCGCCAGAGGGATATATAAGCGGGAATTCTCAGTTTTGCCTTATTCCATCAATTTGAAAGGCAAACGAATCCAGGACACACCCGCTTACAAAGTAGGAAAGATATACTCCGATGAAAAAAGTTAATGCATTTATTATAGTAAAGTAATAAACTTTACAATTATTTATCAATAAAATAATATTAATAAAGATTTTCGTTTTACTTACTGTTGAAAGATTGTACAACTTTATCACATAACAGTTTTTACTTGTACGGTATCATATGTAGGTCAACTCAATAACTTTCTTCAATAGATAGACAATTGATGTAATGACTGACGTTCGAGTGTGCACTGACCGGTGTATCCCGCGGGGCACTGGCAGCTGAAGAGGCCGGAGTCGAGCGCCAGGCAGGTGCCGTTGTGGCAGGGCGAGGAGGCGCACGCGGACTCC